AACTCTTACGTTTGCTTAGTAAGGCAAAAAGTAGTTGCTTTTGGTGAATGAATTAACAGGTTTAGTGCACATAATTCTTTTTTTTATGTAACAGATAGTTTTGGATAAGTGTAATCTCGATATAAGTTCAGACTTAAAAAAGGATTGAACAGGTTTGTTGCCAGCTTCATGCTGGTAACACTAACCTATCAACATCAACATTGAAAAATGCTATTCAATCCTAATATTTACATTCTTAATTTGTAGTCATTATTGACCTAAATATAATTATTTTGTTATATTTTTTATAACTAAATGTCTATGTCGTCAGTACAAACGAGATTACCGATACAAATTTACGTAACCATCATGTTCGTTCTAATGTATGTCTCATTTAATTCTAGGCGTGAGGAGAAGCGTCAAAAAGACGCTGATCAGATTGCGTTCATAGGTTAACAAACGCAACTTTCTTCTCGTAATGCTTATAAAGGAGCTAAGATAAGGAAAATATCACGGATTCATTTACAAAAATATCCAGTATATCGTCTCGACCAAATTGTCATTATGTCAAACCAAACCATAAAGATAAAAGAAAAGATACCAACTATAAATGACATGTACAGTTTTACAAAAAAACTAATTGGGTCACGTACAAGTGAAAAGTTAAAAAATAACTGTTTAATAAACTGAATGCATGTATTTTATTTTCGGTTATGTAAAAGTTTAATCACCTAACGAATGATTATATGTTAACTTTTGACGCGGAAGGTTAAACAGGTGATAATGTCAAAACCTCAACACATAAAGAAATTTGAAAATGTATAAATGTTATCCAGCGCCACCTGTCGTCAGCAGCTGCCATCCCTGACGTCAAAGAACAGTGCTTATTCTGATTTATAAAGTTATTTTGATTTGAAATCATCTTTCTCCTCTATTTCTCCTTTTAGATCTGTCGTAAACATTAACTCATTCACCCCTGAAATTTCATAACGAACTATTCCAACCTTTGAATTGGAAGAGTTCAAATGTGTCTTCAGGGGTGAATGAGTTAAGATTTGTGGTGGACATTAGCTACGTGTAGGAAATATAAGCCGTGTAATGTGTTAACGGCTTACGAGGGGAGTTCAGCTTGTTCCACAACACCAGTAATCCTACTTGTAATACCCTATCGGCACTTTTCACAGAGGAGATATTGATCACCTATTGAACGGGAATACAGATGTACTTAATTGCACCAGCCCCGCTATACAATGGTTCATCGTGGAGACGTCCACTTATTGAACTTCACCACTCCCCAAACGCTTCCCCACCTAACCACCAATATAGTAAATGAATGACTGCAAACATGTAAGTAGCAACCTCAATCGAATTTAGACTTTTATAACAATTTTGCAGAAATACTAACGGACCTTAAATCTTTCATTGATCTGTAAAGATGGCTGACTTCTCAGAATTGTACAAAAAGTTTAATAGATTAACCTTTTCATTCATATATTGTTACTTTAGGTCTGATGGAACAAGGCAATGCCTTATCTGGCAGAAGTCATATGCATAAAAATCTACAAACTAAAGTAGAAAATATGAAATTTTTGATATTGTATATTGTAGCATAAAACTATTATGTTATTAGTTTAATATATTCACGAACGAGAGATGTTTGTAACATGTTATACATAACTAGATATAGTAGGTGCATTCTTCAATCTCTCAAATGTAGCTCAATTAGCATACCAACTTTTCATAGGACCAACTGAATGAGTCCATATTGATAAAAAATCTTCATACAACTACTGTTTAATATGTAAAGTTTGCTTTGAAGTGCATTTACATTATGCAAAAATATTGGTCAGATCGTAAAACAGATTTGAATATGTTGTCGTATGATGTAACAGTTGATACATGTACATAGACAGATCTAACACACGACGTGTATATCAAAAGTTATTGTGTTTTCTATATCTGATTTAGACACTGGCCTAATGACAGATATAATTTATGATGATATATCCTTTACAAAGGGACTCTGATTATACGACATGTTTAAAATGCTGGTCACGTGATTAAAGTCTGTCTGGAACGATAAATCTGTGGTATGTTTATGATTATTTAAGGCAAAAATATTCGACAGATTATTACCACATTTGTATGACTCACGTTCTGTTGGATGTCCAAATATATAATAGTGCTGTATTATAGATATAAGTAAGCATGGTAAAGAAACACGATATGTATGTCGTGTCATGTTATTGCACTTCAAAGCATTTTCACTGAAGTGTACTACAGCGCCAACACACAGATACGATACTAAAGCGCGAATGTACTATACATTAATGTGGCGTCATGATAAACATACTTCTAAGCAACCTATTATCGACAAAATACATTTTTCAAGAAAGATTTTCATTGATAAACATTTTCATTGATAAACATTTTCATTGATAAACATTCTCCCGAAACTGTTTTACAAGACAATACAGAGGGTGCCATTGACGTTGTCAGTAAACTTTTAGATCCATTCCTATAATATATCATAAAGCTTTATGTCAGTGTGTCTGATAGGATCATACTGATCACATAACGGGGCAACAAATCATCATATTACATGTACCCTCATGTTTTCAGGATCTAGCCTGTCTAGAACTATTGGTACCAAAACCAACAACTGTAGTTACGAATGACCGAAGCAGACGACAACAATGGCGTGTAAACCTGATCAACTCTACTATTATATTATTGATTTGAATGATTGATATATGTCTTCGGCACAAAAACAAATATTAACCTTGAAGAAGGGATTCACGATTCTTGTTTCTCTGAGGTAATCATGTTTCACGAGGGCATCTTGGTTTCTGTAGTTGGGACAAATATATAGGTACAGATTTTATCAATACGTTCATAAGACTTTGATTCAAACCCATTCCTTTGACATATACATATATATTTGTTGATAAAGAGTATCCTCATGAAAACTAGTGGCTTTGGAGTTCAACATTTTAATGATAACCTCGGATGGAATAATATTTATCATATTAAGAACCACACATCAGCTTAATGTCCATTATTTACAAGTGGAAGTGATTTTGCATTATCATGCATTCAAAAATGATATTCTTTGACCTGTAGGCTCTTTGTCGGGTGCCATGTTTATATCATAACGAGATTTTTTTTATTATTTTAGAAAATGCCAACTAGAATGAATGCAGATTTTGGAAATTACCTAATGTATATCATTTATATCAGTGCGGCTGTCAAGTCAAACTTATTGTTTCCTATAATTTTATATTCACTTCAAATAATGTTAGCTTATAATTATGTTTTCTTGTAATTAAACATCCTTCATGGACGAGTAACTCAAGTACCATTATAGATTTATCAATATAGTTATCAATCTGATATTTGGACGTCGGTATGGGGTTCGAATAACTGAACAAACGCACCGACACGTAACAGTTTTATAGGTTAATATTGATAAACTTCATGTCGGTATAACTTTTATTCAACCGTTTATTTAAGGCCAAAACAAATGTGTGTTTCATGTATCCCGACCTATCTTGGATGTACCTGCCGACCCTAAAACATTAGCAACCTACTAGTATCTAAGGTTTATTTACTAGCTATGCAAAGCTTATAGCCACTTATTAAAATGCACTTTCTCCAATCTTTCTGCAATCCCTTTGCGATATATGCATATATACCCTACCAACAGTATACCTTGTATGTGCCTTGACTAACTCAACCTGCGCAAAACAATTTAGCCGAGAAACAAGTACCTTATCTCTAATTGTCTTCCATGGATATATATTTGTGTAGCCTTTTACTTATTATGTTGTATTTAGGTCGGTCCAATGTATGTGTAAAAGTTCGGCATATTGTGCAATTTCTCCTTGAGTGAATGCTGATGGTTCCTGACTACTATATTTTATATCCTGTATCTTAACCAACAGGATTCTTGGGTCGTAATAATATGGGTCCGTGTTTTGTCTTATATATATTGTTTAACGTTCTATTAACAGCTAAGGTCATTTAAGGACGTGCCTTATTGTTTGTTGTGAAAGCGTGCATGTGTGTATGTATGCCGGACAAAGAGTATGTTGATGAATTTCACTCCGTGTGATAGCATGGGTCTGATGCCGACTTTATAATGCTATCTCACTGAAATCCCATGCCGAAGACACCCAGTGCAGCATTCCTCCCGGTCACATAATGCCATTACCCTTAATGCTGAACGTTAAGCAGGGAATAGAGGGGACCAAAGCAAATCCCCAATTCTGCAGGGGGTTCCCACATTAGTCGGGGTTCTATGATGGTCACACTATTGGGATATTAAATATTCAGACTATATACAATTATTCCTCCTGCAAATTCAAACACAAACAAATCACCTTTTAATTTTTCGTCTTTTAACCCACGTTGTATTACGTTGGTGTTGACATGTGCCCAGGTTTATTTGATGATGACACACTTGCATATAGGTATCCCCTGCTCCCTTTCCATGTCCTCTCTCTCTCTCTCTTCTTATGTGTTGTAATTAATATTTTACTTTCCCTTTGTAATCTTCTAGCAACCTGTCTTTGTAATTCCCTTGGTAAATCACCTTCAACGGATTTCTTGTGTGTATACCTCTTACCCGTGATGGACAGAGAGAAGAAAGCAATCATGATCTATGTTTCTAAGGGGAATCTAGTCAGGGACAAAAAATTAATATGTATTAAATCACTGAATCGGATGCAATAGTATATGTTGTGTACCCAGCAATTTGCCCTTGGGTGAATAGCATCCGTTTTAATAATTAACGTCGATATCCTTATAGTTCAACAGTGCTCCGAAAATGTAAACAATAATTGTTGTAGGTTGGGATGGGTTTAAACAAAAGTGACATCGTTTTCGTCGGTCTATATATTTTAATTATAGCTGTATATTATATTGCTGTACTTTTGATGGATGAATATGATATTGTAATGAAAGTCATGCATCATTCGAATTATATTATTTACTACTACGTGTAGGTTCTTTGGTTCAAAATGATTTATTTACTCATAAAAACTTACCACGAACACCCAATAGACAGACATAGAGACAGACGGACTAACAAAGACCCAACAGACAGACAAAGAGACAGAAGGACTTACAAAGAACCGGGAGACAGACATAGAGACAGAAGGATTAATAAAGACCCAGGAGACAGACAAAGAGACAGAAGCACTGACAAACACCCAACAGACAGACATAGAAACAGAAGGACTGACAAACACCCAACAGACAGACAGAGAGACGGAAGGACTAATACAGACCCAGGTGACAGACAAAGAGAGCGAAGCACTGACAAACACCCAACAGACAGACATAGAAACAGAAGGACTGACAAACACCCAACAGACAGAGAGACGGAAGGACTAATAAAGACCCAGGAGACAGACAAAGAGACAGAAGGACTAACAAACACCCAACAGACAGACATAGAGACAGAAAGACTAACAAACACCCAACAGACAAACATAGAGACAGAAGGACTTACAAAGAACCGAGAGACAGACATGGAGACAGAAGGACTAACAAAGACCCAGGAGACAGACAAAGAGACAGAGGCACTGACAAACACCTAACAGACAGACATAGAAACAGAAGGACTGACAAACACCCAACAGACAAACAAAGAAACGGAGGGACTAATAAAGACCCAAGAAACAAACAAAGAGACAGAAGGACTAATAAATACCCAAGAAACAGACAAAGAGACAGAAGGACTTACAAAGAACCGAGAGACAGACATAGAGAATGAAGCACTAACAAACACCCAACAGACAAACATAGAGACAGAAAGACTAATAAATACCCGAGAGACAGACATAGAAACAGAAGGACTAGCAAAGACCACACAGACTGACATAGAGACAGAAGGACTAACAAAGAACCGAGAGACAGACATGGAGACAGAAGGACTTACAAAGAATCGTGAGTCAGACATAGAGACAGAAGAACTTACAAATACCCAACAGACAGACATAGAGACAGAAGGACTAACAAAGACCCAACAGACAGACATAGAGACAGAAGGAATAATAAAGACCTGATAGACAGACATAAAGACAGAAGGACTAACAAAGAACCGAGAGACAGACAAAGAGACAGAAGGACTTACAAAGACCCAGGAGACAGACAAAGAGACAGAAGGAATAATAAAGACCTGATAGACAGACATAAAGACAGAAGGACTAACAAAGAACCGAGAGACAGACATGGAGACAGAAGGACTTACAAAGAATCGTGAGTCAGACATAGAGACAGAAAAACTTACAAACACCCAACAGACAGACATATAGACAGAAGGACTAACAAAGAGACAGAAGGAATAATCAAGACCTGATAGACAGACATAGAGACAGAAGGACTGACAAAGAGACAGAAGGACTTACAAAGACCAGCGAGACAGACAAAGAGACCGACGGACTAATCAAGACCCAAGAGACAGACATAGAGACAGAAGGACTAACAAAGACCCTACAGACAGACATAGAGACAGAAGGATTGACAAAGACCCGAGAGACAGACAAAAAAAACAGACGACTAACAAAGAACCTAGAGACGGGCATAGAGACTGAAGGACTAACAAACACCCAACAGACAGACATAGAGACAGAAGGACTGACAAAGAGACAGAAAGACTTACAAAGACCAGAGAGACAGACACAGAGACCGACAGACTAATCAAGACCCAAGAGACAGACATAGAGACAGAAGGACTAACAAAGACCCTACAGACAGACATAGAGACAGAAGGAATAATAAAGACCTGATAGACAAACATAGAGACAGAAGGACTGACAAAGAGACAGAAGGACTTACAAAGACCCGAGAGACAGACAAAGAGACAGACATACTAATCAAGACCCGAGAGACAGACATAGAGACAGAAGGACTGACAAAGACCCGAGAGACAGAAAAAGAGACAGACGACTAACAAAGAACCTAGAGACGGACATAGAGAATGAAGCACTAACAAACACCCAACAGACAAACATAGAGACAGAAGGACTAACGAAGACCATTCAGACTGACATAGAGACAGAAGGACTAACAAAGAACCGAGAGACAGACATGAAGACAGAAGGACTTACAAAGAATCGTGAGTCAGACATAGAGACAGAAGAACGTACAAACACCCAACAGACAGACATAGAGACAGAAGGACTAACAAAGAGACAGAAGGAATAATAAAGACCTGATAGACAGACATAGAGACAGAAGGACTGACAAAGAGACAAAAGGACTTACAAAGACCAGAGAGACAGACAAAGAGACCGACGGACTAATAAATACCCGAGAGTCGGACATAGAAATAGAAGGACTTACAAACACCAAACAAACAGACATAGAGACAGAAGGACTAACGAAGACCACACAGACTGACATAGAGACAGAAGGACTAACAAAGAACCGAGAGACAGACATGAAGACAGAAGGACTTACAAAGAACCGTGAGTCAGACATAGAGACAGAAGAACGTACAAACACCCAACAGACAGACATAGAGACAGAAGGACTGACAAAGAGACAGAAGGACTTACAAAGACCAGAGAGACAGACAAAGATACCGACGGACTAATCAAGACCCAAGAGACAGACATAGAGACAGAAGGATTGACAAAGACCCTAGAGACAGACAAAGAGACAGACGACTTACAAAGAACCTAGAGACGGACATAGAGACTGAAGGACTAACAAACACCCAACAGACAGACATAGAGACACAAAGAATTACAAAGACTCGAGAGACAGACATAGAGACAGAAGGACTGACAAAAACCCGAGAGACAGACAAAGAGACAGACGACTAACAAAGAACCTAGAGACGGACATAGAGACTGAAGGACTAACAAACACCCAACAGACAGACATAGAGACACAAAGAATTACAAAGACTCGAGAGACAGACATAGAGACAGAAGGACTAACAAAGACCCAAAAGACAGACATAGAAACAGAAGGACTTACAAAGACCCGAGAGACAGACATAAAAATGGAAGGACTTATCAAGACCCACCAGACAGACATAGAGACAGAAGGACTGACAAAGTAATCAAGACCCAAGAGACAGAAATAGAGACAGAAGGACTAACGACGACCACACAGACTGACATAGAGACAAAAGGACTAACAAAGAACCGAGAGCCAGACATGAAGACAGAAGGACGTACAAAGACCAGAGAGACAGACAAAGAGACCGACGGAATAATCAAGACCCAAGAGACAGACATAGAGACAGAAAGCCTAACAAAGACCCGAGAGACAGACAAAAAAAACAGACGACTAACAAAGAACCGAGAGACAGACAAAGAGACAGACGACGAACAAAGAACCTAGAGACGGACATAGAGACGGAAGGACTAACAAACACCCAACAGACAGACATGAAACAGAAGGACTTACAAAGAACCGAGAGACAGACAAAGAGACAGACGACGAACAAAGAACCTAGAGACGGACATACAGAAGGACTAGCAAAGACCACACAGACTGACATAGAGACAAAAGGACTAACAAAGAACCGAGAGCCAGACATGAAGACAGAAGGACGTACAAAGAATCGTGAGTCAGACATACAACAGACAGACAAAGAGACAGAAGGACTAATAAACACCCAACAGACAGACATTGAGACAGAAGGACTAACAAAGAACCGAGAGCCAGACATGAAGACAGAAGGACGTACAAAGACCAGAGAGACAGACACAGAGACCGACAGACTAATAACGACACATGAGGCAGACAGAGAGACAGAAGGACTAACGAAGACCCAACAGACAGACATAGAGAAAGAAGGACTGACAAAGAGACAGAAGGAATTACAAAGACCAGAGAGACAGACACAGAGACCGACAGACTAATAACGACACATGAGGCAGACAGAGAGACAGAAGGACTAACGAAGACCCAACAGACAGACATAGAGACACAAAGAATTACAAAGACTCGAGATACAGACATAGAGACAGAAGGACTAACCAAGAACCGAGAGACAGACATGAAGGCAGAAGGACTTACAAAGAATCGTGCGTCAGACATAGAGACAGAAGAACTTAGAAACACCCAACAGACAGACATAGAAAGAGAAGGACTTACAAACACCCAACAAACCGACAGAGAGACAGTAGGACTAACGAAGACCACACAGACTGACATAGGGACAGAAGGACTAACAAAGAACCGAGAGACGGACATAGAGACTGAAGGACTAACAAACAACCAACAGACAGACATAGAGACACAAAGAATTACAAAGACTCGAGAGACAGACATAGAGACAAAAGGACTTACAAAGACCCAAGAGACAGACACAGAGACAGAAGGACCGACAAAGACCCGAGAGTCGGACATATAAACAGAAGGACTTACAAACACCCAACAAGACAGAAGGACTGACAAAGAGACAGAAGGAATTACAAAGACCAGAGAGACAGACACAGAGAACGACAGACTAATCAAGACCCAAAAGACAGACATAGAGACAGAAGAACTTAGAAACACCCAACAGACAGACATAATTGGTCATCAGACATACACCCAACAGACAGACATAGAAACAGAGGGACTTACAAAGACCCGAGAGACAGACATGAAGACAGAAGGACGTACAAAGAATCGTGAGTCAGACATAGCGACAGAAGAACTTACAAACACCTAACAGACAGAAATACCGTCAGAAGGAATAATAAAGACCTGATAGACAAACATAGAGACAGAAGGACTTCCAACAGACAAAGAGACCGACGGACTAATAAATACCCGAGAGTCGGACATAGAAGAACTTACAAATACCCAACAGACAGACATAGAGAAAGAAGGACTGACAAAGAGACAAAAGGACTTACAAAGACCCAAGAGACAGACACAGAGACAGAAGGACCGACAAAGACCTGAGAGTCGGACATAGAAACAGAAGGACTTGCAAAGACCCGAGAGACAGACAAAAAAAACAGACGACTAACAAAGAACCTAGAGACGGGCATATAGACTGAAGGACTAACAAACAACCAACAGACAGACATAGAGACAGACCGACTAACAAAGAGACAGAAGGGAAAATAAAGACCGGATGGACAGACATAGAGACAGCAGGACTTACAAAGACCCGAGAGTCAGACATAGAGACAAAAGGACTGACAAAGACCCAAGAGACAGACACAGAGACAGAAGGACTGACAAAGACCCGAGAGACAGAAAAAGAGACAGACGACTAACAAAGAACCTAGAGACGGGCATAGAGACTGAAGGACTAACAAACAACCAACAGACAGACATAGAGACACAAAGAATTACAAAGACTCGAGATACAGACATAGAGACAGAAGGATTGACAAAGACCCGAGAGACAGAAAAAGAGACAGACGACTAACAAAGAACCTAGAGACGGACATATAGACTGAAGGACTAACAAACACCCAACAGACAGACATAGAGACAAAAAGACTTACAAAGACTCGAGAGACAGACATAGAGACAGAAGGACTAACGAAGACCCAACAGACAGACATAGAAACAGAAGGACTTACAAAGACCCGAGAGACAGACATAAAGACGGAAGGACTTATCAAGACCCACGAGA